TCTCTCTCTCTCTCTCTCTCTCTCTCTCTCTCTCTCCCCTTCTCTCTCTCTCTCAGGATAGAACCCAGGGGTGCTCTACCACTGAGCTACATCCCCAGCCCTTTTTTACTTTTTTGAGACACGTTTTCTCTAAATTGCTCAGGCTGGCCTCAAACTTGTGATCCTCCTGTTCAGCTTCCTAAATCCTTGGGATTATAGGCTATGCCAGTGTGTCTGACAAAACTAAATTTTTTGAAACATTTCTCAAATGGCCCATAAACACCAGAAAAGATACTTGTCATCCTTATTAAGCAAGAAATTGCATATCAAAACTACAGTGAATTGGGAGACTGAAGCAGAAGGATCACCAGCCTCATAAGCAACTTAGAAAGACTCTCTTAAAAAATAAAAAAAGGCTGGGGATGTGGCTCAGTGGTTAAGCACACCTGGTTCAATCCCCAGTATCAAAAATACGTACAAACAAAACCCACAATAACAAGCCATTTAATACTCCCATAGGATGGTTGAGATTATCTTTGTGATTTATAAGTAGGCAAAGACTTCTTAAGATAGGACACAAAAAATAGTAATCATAAAAAATGATATTAAACTTTATCAAAATTTGAAATACCTGCTCATTAAAATTTACCATTTTAAAAAATTAAAACACAGAATTTCAGAAACATTAACAAACAAACCCACAAAACATCTATTAGGGGTCTAGTATCCATGATATTCAGAGGTTCCTACAACTGAAATAGAAGACGGCACAATTAAAAAAATGAGCCAAAGATTTGAACAGAATCTAAGAAGATAAAGGAATGACTAGAAGCATGGATGAAGGTATTCAACATTGTGAGTTAAGAAGGAAATGTAAGTTAAAGCCACTTGGTCAGCCAGGCCTGGTTGCACTTGATTATACTAGGAACGCTGAGGCAGGAGGAGCGCCTGAACCTAAGAGTCCAGACCAGCCTGGGCAACATAGTGAGACCCCTGTATCAGGAAAAGAAAAACAAAAGCACATGAAGTGCTGATCTTTTAATAAAGACAGTATGCTGATGTTTGCAGTTGACTTTGAAATGCATCAAAAAATAGAAATGGATTTATAGCTAGAAAAAAATATATGGTAAAGCAAGTAAGTGAAGTGTTGATACTAGAATCTAATTAGGTGATAGGTGTATGGATATTTGCTGTAAATTTTAGTTTTTCTATGTGTTTGAAAGTATTCATGGTAAAATGTTGGGAAGGTGTCGGGATTTGAAAGCAGAGCATCTTTTTTTTAATCAGTGGAGTACATTTGTTTTATGGTAGGGTGTGGCTCAGTGTAAAATGCTTGCCTTGAACACAGGGCCCTGGGTTCAATCCCCAGTGCCTAAAACATTCTTTTTGTTTCATTTAAGAAATAGAGTCATCAACTGCATCCATTCAAATCTCATACTAGTGACATACTAGTTGTGGGATCTTGGGAATGCTGATTGGCTGGCTCATTCTTGGATCAGTGTCAAGCAAAATTGAAATATAGAAATTTAATTTTAAGAAACATGCATTTTGCTAGATTGTGTTTTAAAATTTCACTTTCTTTTAAAATATTTTCAAGGTAAGATGAGGTCCAGGCCAGTTCTGGCAGAGGCATGATGAGGATGGGAGAGGAGGAGTGAAGTCGGGGGTAGACAGTGGGGAACTGAGAGGGACTGATTGTACTAAATAGAAAGTTCCTTATAATCAATTGGCCTTTTCAGAAACACTGTGTTGCAAATACTATCTGTGTTCTGTTGGAAATCTCTACATCACAAAAGGAAAAAAAAAGATAGCATGCTATGTGTAACATATCCATTAAATTTTTACAGATTGACCTAGAAGCTGAGAAGGTGAGCACTATAGCTGGCATTGGAATTCAGGGAACAGACAGAGAAGGAGGAGCAGCAGGAGAGCAGCAACCCATTAGCTCCCCATGGGATGTCGCTTTGGGAACATCAGGTATGTGTGGTTTCAATATTCAATGGGAGTAAACTTTGCTTAATAATAGTTAAGGTTTAAAAAATATTCTTGCAATACTCATTTAGGTTAATTGTATTGCTGGTTATTTTATGACTTTTATACTTATGACTTGGAGTTAATTGTATACAACAAAGGCAACAGTAATATATACAGGCTAGTATAAATGTTACACACAACAATTATATTTTATATACAAGATGGAGTATATAGTCCTCTAACTTAAAGTTTAAAAATTTTATCTTAGCATTTTCCAGTTAACATATTTAGTTTAAGAATACTCAGAAAACTGAAAGGATTATAGTTTCAGGACTTGAAGACAATTTATGAAGTATATCACTTAGTGTCCTTATTAACTCCAGTTTGAAAAAGAAGTCAAGAAAGCAAAGAGGGAGTTGCTTTTTCTTTAGATTTAAAAAGTTTGTACAGTATTGAAATATGATAGCTTCTTTTGAGCAATTAAAAACATTAACCCTACTGAATATGCAAATATTGATAATAAACAAGACTTAACATTGTTCATATGTTCTTTTCTACCTATATTAATTCATTCAAAGAAATCCTGGAGTCCTCTTATTAGTACACTTATTTTTACTGGCCCTTAGTGGTACAGAGACGGTTATTTACATGTCTAAAATCAGAAAAACAAATAAAGAAGTTAGCAGAGTCCATTAAAAATGGAATTTGAGAGGCTTTATAAATGGTTCATGTAGTCTTATATAGTCAAAGAGTCAATACATGCTAGCTTTGTTGAATTGCTTTACATTTGAGATAATTTTCTATTATGTTGCCAATTTAGTTATAATTCAAAGGCATTTTTCCATTGTGATTAGCTTTTGTAAAGCTTTTAATATTAAAGTAAATGAATGGGTTAGTACCATGGACGTGTAATATATTTAACTTAGTGTGACATGGAATATATTTTTGAGAACTCCATTTTTGGAATTCTTGTTCTAAACAGTAATGAGTTGTTTTGTCATCCTCTAAGGGAGGCAGCACTGTGGAGCAGTACATCCCAGGCCCAGGCCAGAGGGGACACGTCATATGTAGAGAATTTAAAATTATAATAAACTAATTAAAACTCATCTCCATTTTATTACCATGCATTCGAAATTCTAAACAATTTCATAGTTAAATCCTTGCCAACATTTATCACGCTGCCTCCTTGCCTTTGCTACAACACTGAGCATAAATCTTACAGATGGCAAAGCAGAACATAAATCTTATGGATGGAAAAGCAGTCTGAAATGTAGCTGTCAGTAACATAGTTAAAGTGAATGAGAATTCCTGCTTTGGCATGTAATTTCCATCTCTCAGGGAGAGAAAAAAGTTCTACACTTAATATATAACATCCCCTAACCCCCCAAAATTATTTACAGCCAGGAGTACATACAACAATGTAGCTACTGATGTTTGCATTTTGCCACTTTGTATCATCTTTGTCTATTAGTAATTGCCTCAATAATGCCACCAAGAAATTATCGCAAGACTCACACAAACCTAAACTAACCAACCTTTCTTCCTTTTCCTTTTCCTTTTCCTGTGTGCAGTGTTAGAAATTAAACCCATGGCCTCTGTTGTGTTAGGCAAGTGCTCTACCACCGAGTAATGCCTCCAGCCCTTTTTATTTTATTTTGAGATAGGGCTCTTGCCTATCTCAAACTTAAGGGTCCTCCTGCCTCAGCCTCCCAAGTTGCTGAGATTGCAGGCATGTGCCACCATATGCAGCTCTAAACCTTTATTTCTTGCTCACTTATGGAGTTGGGTTTAGCTGATCAGCATGTTTGGGTATAAATCTAGTCCATGTGGTGCTCACCTTCCATGGACCGGTAGCTATCTGAGGTATATTCTTCTATTAACAAAGCAGAAGTGCAAGAGGGTAAGCCCAGTTATACACATTTTAAGCCTTTGTTCATGCCATACCTATTTACCTACTATAACATCATACGTTTGTTAAAACGAGTCACATAACCAAGTTCAAAGTCAGAGAATAAGGATACATACTTTGCTTACAAAGAGGCCATGGCAAGTGAAGAATTGGGAACCATAATTCAGCTTTCACTATGTATCATGTATTTTACATTGTTTAAAAACAGAAGGTACTTTCCTGCATGCTTTACTAAGTTGGATTTATTTAATAGCCAGAGTCCTTAAATTTTGTCTAGGCTAAAATTTTTTCAATCATACTTTATGGTATAGGATTTCTGGTTGTCAATCTCTGTAGTGAGAAGGCACCCAAATCAATCTCCAAGGAAACGCTGGCTCCATTGTCAAGCACTCCATCAGGTTGCATCTCTTTGAAACTTACTTGTTTATTTTGATCAGTTTTTAAGAAAGGAGATGAGCTCTGCCTCAGCTCAACAGAGCATGGCTCTGCGTTTAACTTAGAGTTGAAAATATCTTCACTCAGGCCCGTGGCAGGAGAAGCAGGAGGTAGGTAAGGTGAATGTACGTAAGCTCAGTCCCTTGCAGAGTGCTGGCTAGGAGAAAGCAGCTTCGGCTCTGTGGTAGACCTGCAGCCACAGTGGTTACTCTGGCCCAAGACATTAGTGGGTAGGCTTTATAAGATATGTACTCATTTTATGTGTATTCCCAGAAATTCTATTTAAGATTTGGAAGAATTATTTAGATTCTCATCACATTTTCAAAGTGGTGTGTCACTCAATACATTTTAAGAACCACTGCTTTAAATTACTCTTAATTTAATTGCATGAATCTAATTCTGAATTAATGTATATTGTCAGAATATGGAAAATTGGATTATAGGATATTTGCTGTACTTGTCTTTACTTGCATTTTAGCATGATGCCATTTTTTAAAAATATATCAATTCATAAACATAATATTCATTTATATTTGTAATGTGTGTATATATTCACGTTACTTATTTCCAAACACAGCCCTGTAGGACATAGAGTTTCTACTATAAATATTTGCTGACATTTTGAATTATTGCCTTATAAGTGACCTTTGTCTACTGGAGAAAATTTTTCTGGTCTTTGTATTATGGGTAACTATACTTCTTTTTCCTGAGTATTAGGTTGTTTATGTTTTCTCAGGTTTGTTATTAAGTTAAATCATAACTGTTTGCCTTGTTGTATTGATTGCTGGGAAACTCATAGACAAATTTATCTTTAGTAAAGTATAATGAACAACATGACATTTTTTAATATTAACATATTTACCTTTGATTCAAATTTTTTATCAAATTTTATTTATCTCATTAGAGATAGTTTCTTTCTAATCTACCAATGCTTTGTGAAAGAAAAACAGAAGTACATAAATACAGTAGAATCTCTCTTTACTGTGGTGAGTCAGTACAATAATTGACCATATAGGAAAAAATCTTAGGAATCTAAAAAATTTTTAAATACTGTCTTTTAATTTAAGACATATAAATGTACACTTGTTAGCCAATATTTTGATATGAGAATAAAGCCTTTTCCTTAAGCAGCACCTGACAGTCTTTCTTTTACTACCCAAAATGTGTTGTTTTGATTTCCTTAAAGTGTGATGAGAATTTAAAAACACATGTAGACATCTGAGAGCTAAAATTGACTCAGTTTTTTTAAAATATATTTTTAGTTGTCAGTGGACATTTTTGTTTTATTTACTTACTTGTGTGTGGTACTGAAGATTGAACTCAGGGCCTCACACATGCCAGGCAAGCACTCTACCACTGAGCCACAACTCCAGCCCCTCTACTCAGTTTTTATGAAAAAAAAAGTTTTAACTCATTCTTTCTGTTTTCATACTTAATTCGACAATTTGACTTAACTACTGGCCTTTACTGAATCTTTTTAAACTATTCTACTTCTATTCAAAGTAGAAACAATTTTTTGCTTTCATTTGCAGTGGTTCATATATATTTGAATTATTATTGGAGGCTGAGGCAAGAGTGTCGAGTTGTTACTTAGCAGGGGACATCTAGCAAGACCCTGTCTCAAAATTTTTAAAAGGAGGGAGGAGCTAGAGATGTACCTCCGAGGTACTTTGTCTGGGTTTACTCTTCAGTATTGCAAATAAACAAACAGTAAAAGAAAGTAAAGATGAGGTAAAGAGAATGAAAAATAACAAGGACAAATCCATAGTTGAACATATGTACTCAACCAAGGGTTCCAGCTTAATAAACAACATACTTCAAGGTGAAAATAGAGAAACAGATTTGAAATCCTCTGAGTACTTTAAATATATATGTAAGTTGTGAGTGTATGTGTCTATTTTGCATATGTAACTTTGGTGTGCTGTCACGGTGATAAAGCATAAAAATGATTAACATAAAGTGATTTTTACAAAAGTGAGTTTCATCTTTTTTCTTTTTTTATTTGATTGTCACTCTATATATGGCCAGAACTTTATCATGCACTAAAAATTATTACTGACTTCAATAAATACATTTTTTAGCAGATAGTTTGCCATATTTCTAAAATGTGTATCAGGTCTGCATTGACTCCACTGACGCCAGACAATAACCTGAAAAATGTTTTATCACAGAGGTCAGAACCCCTGCCAGTCTCTAAGTACTTTAGCGTTTACCTGATTTAAAATCATTTATAAAAGTATAATGTGCCTGAATCCCATTAACCTTCCTTAGCCCTTTAATCAGCATTTTTCCCTAGATAGAAATTTAGTTTTTCTTATAAAACCTCTAATGATTGAAATCCAGTTATTTATCCTGCTGGTCTGATTATCTATAGTGTTGGTTCTTAGTGCTTAGGTAATACATTTTTATTACTTCCATGAATATTCTATAAAATGCCATAAAATGTTTCTGTTTTATAAATAATTAAGTGATCAGAAATTTTTGTAGCATTATTTTATGCAGTGACTAATAGATTTTTATTTTGAAAAACAGTTGTTGCATCTTTATATCTAAAATTTGAGGAAAGATTTTATACTCTTGTCACATTGACTTGATGTTGGTAAGATTATTTTCTTAGGTTAGCAAAGGTATAATTTGCATAAAGAAAATTTGCTAGGTA